AATTTATATGAAGAGGTCGGTATTATCATAAAGAAAAAATTGCTGTAGATATAAAATGTATTCGATCCGTCCATTTCACTAGTAATAAATGGAAATATCTAACCAAAATTATCAAAATCAGAACATGTAAATCGTCTCTCTATTTTAGAAATGAAAATTTAAAACTTTTAGGTGTTTCGACATTATTAAAAGGTACATGAAAATTTATCTCTGAAGTACTTTATGAATTAATTAATAACTTGTTGAATTGTATTAAATTTATTATTTACTTATATATATATATATATATATATATATATATATATATATATATATATATATGTATATACTAGCTGAACCCATGCACTTCGTAGCCCATTAAAAATTCTACCTCTTATATGTCTCTTTAACTGTATGTTAAATTCGTTGCCTGTGATTATACTAGCAGTATATTTTTTTTTTATATATAAATATATAACGCATAAAATATACTACGTAATAATTGCACAACGGTATTAAATTTAGTTTATCATTACCTATGTAATTTTATTTGTTTTATTGAGAAAAGTCTGACAATATTAAATTGAATTATATTTATTGAAGTTCATTTGGATACACAATATTTTTTGTCCTTCCTTCTGGTGCGTACACAAATTAATCAGAAGGTCTTTCGGCACAAAAAACACAAAATATTAATAAAAACTTTTATTGTCATAGACGCACGTGCTATGGAAACAAATAATAAAATATAATAATAACAAATTCAGCGATAATAATTTATTTCGCACTAATTATTATTATTATTCATGAAATTAATAGCAACCATATATAAACAAAAATTTACATCGTAAATCTTAAAATGTCATGAGCACCTTCCGGAATTGGGTCTATCACTTTTAACTTAAGCCATCTTCTGCCCATAGGACTAATATTTCTCTGTACCAAATTTCGTCGCAATCGGTCCAGCCGTTTAGGAATGCATGAAGGACAAACCAACAGACATAAATCCATTTTATAAATCAAATGTATAAGTTATGAATTAAATATGTATGCAGTGATTTTCAAATATTTTTATAACATTTACAACTAAAATCAACCAACAACTCACAAACTCTTTGTTAAATGTATGTATAAAATAGTTATCAAAGTAGCCTATGTCAAAGTCTATTTGATTCTTTTAATCTAACTTTAAACAAAAACATTTACATGGTGGTTAACAGGGCTCGGAAGTTCTAGCAAATACATATTTTTCTTGGTTCATCTTGGAACATCCAATGTATGATAAAAATTAATTTCTCACTACTCCGGATATCAAAATTTAATTTTGCAATTTTTTGCATACACGGGTTTTATTACTATTTTGCTAATTTAGGGTTTATAATGCTATTTTCGGGAATATTTTCACAAAATGTAGGAAATAATCACATTTTGGTGATAATAATTGTACTTACTGGGCTATATTTTTAAAAAATATTTTAATTATTGGAAATAAATAGACCTCATCAAATATTATTTAATGTTTTCATCGACAATTTGATTTATTAATAGTTAGTGACGTTATTGTTATTCCCTTATCAATATCATATATTATTATATTATATATTATATCATTACATTAGATTATTAAACATTTTAATAATCTAGGATGATTTCCAAGGCAAATATATGAAATAATTTAATAATAATTAGGTACATTTTTATAAATATATTTAAGTAATTTAACATTTTCGTTAACGGTTTAAAATTCAATCAGTCCAGATTGTATCTAATGAGCCCAACAACTTGTTAAATTACATTATTTTCAAGTTAATTACATATTTTTTGATTTTTCGTGCTATTTACAGCGCATATTTTAGAGTTTTTGAGTGCATATTTAAGAGCTAAAAAATAACTTTTTTAGTGCTACAACTTCCAAGCCCTGATTATTAAGATTGAAATTTCCTTGAACACAATAATTGATTTTCAACGTTTCTGATATAGTGCAAAATCTCAGTATTTCTATAAATATTAATTGTGTGATTTCCCTGATAAGTATACTCAAATATACCAATACATTTGGAAATAATAAATGAGAACATTGAAATTATATACAATGCATGCTAGTTAATATTATTTTAATGTAATAAAAAATGAAAGTTATTTCTACATCATCAGAAACTTTTTGAAAAATCAACAACCTATCCTAAAAGTACATTATTTAAAACCAGAAATATAATAACTCTCATGCCACTAAACGAGACGTGACCAAATTAATACGTGGTTTTTTATTTTAATTTTTAATTTTTATAATTATGTAAATGATACTGTTTGTAACTATAAAAGTAAATGTAAAACGGTGCTCGAAAAATTTTCTTAAATTCAATTTTCATAACGTATGTGTTAGTTTTGAATATTAATTAAAAATAAATAAAAATAAAATTTTTTTTTGGAAATAGTTAACAATACACAGATACGATATTACTATAATTACTGACTTTATTACAATAATGGAAAATGGCAAAACATAATGTTAATATTTCAATACCTGCTAGATCAGTACTACATTATATGTCCAAAGAGGGTAGTAGAAACTCTAAACTTATCGTTTAGGGCACCAGTTCTCAAACTGTTGTATGCGAAAGGCCGCATGGTGGTAAAACAGAAATTAAAAATTCGATATTTAACTCATATATTAATTTAAAACCACTAATAACTTTTTATTAATAAATAAATAATTATTTTATTTTAGTATTTTACTGCCTTTTTATTTAAAATAATTTAATTATGTATTAAATAATGTATTTAATTACGTACATTTTGTATGGTTTTATTTTTTATCATTAGGTGGTACGTGACTGATTGATAATATACTTAAATGGTACGCGAAAAAAAAAAGTTTGAGAACCGCTATATTGACAATATTAAAATAATTAAAAGACGAAGTGACCTGATTTTGTTTTTTCAAGTTGATGGGATCAGGGAATGAAAAGTTTTCTGTAACCATGATTTTCTTAATGTCCTATTTGAATCCCATTATCGACATTTACGATCGGTGGTAAGGTGGGGTTGGTGATAGAAGAGACAGCTAGGGTTAGTAACTTGGACGGATGGGCACTGGCCGATGGGGTGATTGTCTTCTCTGCAATGACTGCATCTTAGACTGTTGCGACAGAATTTTAGGGTGTGCCCAAACCGTAAGCATTTGTTGCACTGAAGAGGTGAACCAACGCTTGCCAAAAAAACGAAAAATACGTTGAAGATGGTAAAAGATTTTGGAATTTCGGTTGACAGAAATGTTTTTTCGACAATGCAAGTAAGGGTGAGATCGTCGTCTCTGTTGACAACGATATGTTTGAAACCAATTATGGGTACAACACATTTTGGACCATCCAAAAATTCCTCTTCTGAGAAGAAGGTATCTAATTTGATTACTTCATGTGAGGGAATTTCAGTTGAAGGTATGTAGGCGGACAATTTATGTTCATTTAAAAGAGGCAAATCGAGGCATATATTGGCATGAAAAGTCGAGTCGAAAGTTACTTTGAGTTTTTTGTGACCATTCGGCTTATATAATTGATGCCATAAAAATTAGTGCTAAGAAATTTGGCCCACTTAAGAGGGTATTAGATAGAAATATTGGAATCAATTAGTTCGGTGATAATAATAGGTGTGCCGTCAAAATTAGGCTCGAAGTATTTTTGGAGGTGTTCAGTATTATATTTCGTTTTATCGACAACAGGTAAGGTCATAGTAGTATTTGTAATATCGCACACAGGTTTTAACAAGAACTAATTACGGTATTATCGATAGAACTGTTATTGTCGAGAGTATCGTTTGTAATCATGACATTACCGTACGTGAAATTATTTTCGTGGTTCATATTTAGAATAGATGGTTTAAAATTATATGTTGTAGATTTGATGAAATTGGATTACTATGTGATGAATTTGATTTACGAGACTTCCTGTTTTGAATTTTATGGAATTCGAGATCTGAGTGAAGAGATGAAGCGATCGTGGATTTTATTTTATTTTGACATTGTTTATACCCGAGAAGGCGGCCGTTGCCGCTAGCCGACAACGGCATAATTATATATCGCACTTGTTAATTAGTTAGATAATATATGCGAAATCCGATATAGTAAACTGGCGATAAAACGATGAGAGGTAAATCACAATCGATGATATTTCATATTTTAAATACAGTATTCACTATTATTATAGTAATAATGTTTTTAAAAAATAAATAATAAAATAATAAATTTCATAAGTAAATAAATAATGATAATATAAAATAATAAAAAATCGCATAAAGTAATATAAATTTTTTTTTAGTCTAAAAAAATTATTTAAATTTTTTTGATATTTATTTCTGAAACTTAAAAATTTAATATAATCGTACTGATTAATTATTTTTATTGTATAATATAAAACTGTTTTCATTTATACAATCTTATTTTGCAGCATACATTATACCAGAGGTTCCCAATTTTTTTTGACTCACGGCACCCTTTATTATTTTCTAAAAATGTAGAAGCACCCTATAGCCTATGCCCTATATCATTGGTACCCGGAGGGGGGGG